GGATGTGCTCTTGTCATTTACTGGGTGGGGCTGAGGGGTATTGGATGTTCACCATGAAGAATTGTCCTAGCCCTGTATGACTTGTGAATGTCCCACTAGATGGTCATATTGGTGAAAAACATGTTTATAGTTACTAGAGCCAAGAGCCTAACTCAGTTTTACATATCCATAGGGAACTTTTTGCAGGGTTTTAATATATGTTGAGTTTTTCAGGAATAAAAACTACTGTTTTATTAAAGGACAGTTGTATCTTCTTTTGTTTAGAACTCTACCAAGAGTTCACCATTTGGGGGAAATCATGTCACCAATGACAACATTTCTCACATTCAGAGCAATTCAACATATAGGTGGAAACATTGGACATTGCTTGGTAAATATTTGTCAGGATTTAATTGAAATTAGGAAAATCCGAAACAGATGGGGGGAAAACATTTCTCTTTCCTGGCTGAATATATTTGCTTTTCTTTTTTTCCTATTGTATTTTATCTTATACTTCATTCATAAATCGCACATCTGTCTCTCACTAAATGAGAACTTAGTGGGGACAAGAACTGTATTTTACTTATCTTTGAATCTTCAATATTCACTGAGCACATGGTAGTTGCTCAACTTTATTCAGTTGAATTAATAGCAATAACAATAGTATTTATTCAACAAATATTGAATCAGACTCTGCTAGGCAAAGAGGGCAAAAAGACACTGTCCCTATTCTCAGGAACACATGATCCATTGCAAAGACAGACCTGGAAATAATTATAATATAATATGACAGTTTCTAGAATGGACATAGCTATAAACTATAGCTCTGTAATGAAAAAAACACTTAAGTCTTGTAGGGAGATCCTGGAATAATGTCACAGAAGAGAAATAGTATCCAGCATTAATCATAGTGCCAAGAAAGACTCTCAATAAATATTTAGAAATTCATTGAATGAGAGTAGTTCTAAAGAGTGAGGAGGGATTTGCCAAATGGTCAAGTTTAAAAGGGCATTCCCCACAGGAAATCCCTATTCAAAAGCTCAGAGGTATGAGAGGTGCAGGAAGAATTGCTGGAGCATAAAGTTGGAGGTTGAGTCATAAAGTTGTCCCCTGAATGTGATGGACCAGATCATGAAGAGCCTTCTTCCATAAAAAGAAGTTAGATTTTGTCTTGTAGATGCTAGAAAACCATTAATTTAACTATTAAAACTACTGTTTTTCAAACTATACTGTGTGCCAGGTACCTATAATCCTAATACAGAGTTGATATTTTCCCATTTTATAATTGGGAAACTGAGGCTCAGAGACATTAATTAACTTGCCCAGGTTTTCACAGCTACTGAGTGGAAGAACTAGAATTCAAAATTAGGTCAGTTGAGTCCACATCTCCTGTCTTCCTTTTAAACTATATTTTATTTTACACAGCACATCCAACAGGGAAGAAACTAGGTATTTTAACTTTTTAATTTTTTTTTAACCTCACATCATTCTCAACTATAACAAATTCAAAATTTTTATGTAAATTTAACAACTTGAGACTCATGAGTAAGTTTTAGTCTTCTGAAGGTCCAAATTTGTATCACAGTAACTCACCTCTTGCAGGCCACTTTTATTCTGGTGCCATCTTCTATCTAGTTTTTCAAATAACTGTCTTTTGACTTACTGAAATGCCCTTTTCCTTTCAGTCACCATTGAATGTTGTGGGCCAATCAGGCATGGTTTGTATACTCTGAAGGAGAAAAATTTCAAGTACTATTTTCTTTTTGAGCCATTTAGATCTGAGTCTTTAATATGCAAAAAGAATACTCCAAGTAGTAATTACTTAAATTTGATAAGAAAATCTAATATTGATCCTGCTATTCTATTTAATTAATATAAATGTAATTTACTATTTAAATAAATGATTCCTACCTCATATCCTAGTGTGCTTGGTTAGCGTGAAGTACTTGAGACATTATCTGATTAACTCTGCAACATCTGGCTAGTCTGGGATGAGATTCTTCCTTATTTTAATGGCCATTAAGATGTGATGCGTTCTGGAGATGGATCATGGTAACGGTTGTATACAACAGTGAGAATGTACTTACTGTTACTGAGCTGTGTACTGAAAATGGTAAGTTTTATGTAAGTATATTTTATCACAATTTTAAAAAAGATATGAAACAGAAGTTCAAAGTGGCCTGAGATCTCTTATCAAGCAGTTATTAATCAAATATTCTTGAGAGCCTTTTGTTATGGACTTGAGTAAGGTGTGCAGGAACACCTATCTTAGCATCATAGGCTGATCAAATTAAATGTTCTTAATTCTAAGCTGTTTGAAAAGAAAAAGAATCCCATTTATCTGAATGCAGGGATAAAGAAGAAAACATAGTAATGGCCCAATATTATGATGCAGCCATCCTCAGGATGGATGTGATGATGAAAATGCCTTTCAGACTTGACTGCTATTTGTCCCTGGCTTTAGTTTCTTGTTCAAAAGCACAGCTAAGGGATTAAATGGGCTATCTAAATGTCACCTCAACAGGTAGAATGTGCATGGTAGCAGCTCCAACTTGTAGCTGAGGCTCAGACTTTTAGCTTCCTTATCCCCACTAGTATCATGGGAAATTAAACTGTCATTCATTAGCTTCACAAAAATTAAAAGATTGTGCTGGTGGAGGTACAGCAAACATTGTTGGCGAGTGTGAATTGCATAACTTTCAGGAAAGTAATCTGGTAATAACTGATAGAAATTTTAAATACACATACTTTTTGGCCTAATAATCCCACTGGGTTGCCACTATCGTGTAGAGACATTGGTACAAGTTGTGTTGTTTTTAGTAGCAAAAAAGTAGAAGCCAGTCAGGAATTGGTTGAACAAATTATGCTCTGTCCATTCTAAAGACCAATGTACAGCTATTAAAAGGCGAGTTAAATCTTTATGTATTGGCCTGGAATGATAGCTATGTTATATAATGCGTAAAAAAGTTATAGAGTTAATATTAGTGTAGTATGGAGTATGACCTAAAAAAAGAGAAACCATATGTGTGTTTGAGAATAGCATGTAGAAGGATTCACATCAAACTGACAAAATTGATTGTCTCGGGGAGGTAAGCTTGGAGGTGGGATTGAATTAACTTTCCTTGTAAAACCATGTTGTTTGATTTATTATAATATAGTTTTTGTAAGTTTTAAAAAGTTTCTTAAGTTAAAAGAAAAGAAAGGGAAGGGGAGAAATAGTGATAAAAATTTTCCTAGGGATTACTTTGGGAGAGGGTTGATGACAGGGAATGGGCACAAAAGAAGCTTTGGTACTGGTAATGATCTCTATCTTGAGCTTGTGTTCACTTTGCAAAAATTCATCTAATTATATGCCTATAATTTGTATAATTTTGTGTCTTTATTGTATAAATTAAAATATAAAAATTATAGACTAGCAATACAATGGAATGCTATTATATTTTCTTAAAATGTTTTCAAAAAATAATAATATATGAAGTCAAGCAAGAAATAGTGAAGTCCCATTATTATAAAATATAATGTGCCTATAAACATACAGAATGAAGGCTGGAATAAAAACAATACAATATTAATAGATATTATGTCCAGATTATGGTTGTTTTTGTTTTAGGGGTTGGTTGGTTGGTTTGTTTGAAGTAAGAACAGTTTATTGGGTTGGATCATTTAGGAAGTCAATAAAACTTGGTGAGCCAAATCAGGAATTTTAAAATATTAAGCAGAAATTAAGAGTGAAGAAGAGGAGAGGAAAAGGCATTTTTTAAAAGAAAGAAAAACAAAGCTAAATACAGAGGTGTAGTAAGGTCAGGTAATTTTTTTCAACCTCTACTAGGAAAAGACTTTTACTAACTTCAGCTGTCAAACCATCATGTAGTAGTAGAGTCATATTAAAAATACTCTCCTTTATCAAACTCAGTTGGGCTTTTTTACAAGTCATGCTTGATACCTAAGTTTTGTTGTTTTTAAGTATTTAGTTTTAATGAAACTGTCATCGATATAATAGTTTCAGTTGACCCTAGCAGATGCAACTTAGTAGTAGCTTAAGAAACCTATGTTCTCCTCCCAGTCTTCACTGATTAACGCTAATAGTTTGCTTTTTTTCACCTTAGCTGCCACATGGGGGCAAATAATACCTCACTAGGTCTTAATGAGAATCAAACGAGAAAATGTAGTATGTGAAAATACTTTTATAGAATTAAACACTACCCAATTGAAAAATTACATTATTTTTCTTATATTTAATTCGGCCTAAAGTCCTTAGTTGTGGAATGTAGTTATTTCATGATGGAATTTATTTCGCTTAATAGGAATTGAAAAGTTGAAGTTTATGAAAGAATGCAATTTTTTTAAGTCAAGTTCTGCAAATGTTGCATTTAATGGTTCTCGAGGTGTGGGTTGTGATTGCAATGCGTCATTATTTTAGACTAAATACTAATATTTAGTGCTTATATATCAAATTGAAATGTAAACATTTTTGCTGCTTCTAATTGTTGAACTGTCAGGGGAATTATCAGGCTTTTTTCCCTATTTCAATTATTTTTCGTTAATTCATCATGTTTACCTAAAATAACTAATACACCCAAATCAGATCACTTCAGGTGTTTCGCAGGGGTTTTGATAAGGCTTGGCTTTTGATTAGATCTTTAAGTTAGTTATCTTCTGGTCAGAGTGAGCGTTGGGTTGGGATGGAGAAAACTGCGGGGCACTAGGACCCAGGGGGCTCCCGTGAACGGATCTTGGGGCCAGATTGCAAATTCGCGGTGACTCAGTCTGGTCGGCTCCTTGCGCTCGGCGGCCGCGGCGGCAGCAGTAGACGTTGGCGGCCGAGCTGCTAGGAGCAGTTCCGCCGGCTTTCACCGTCCGATACTTACTTCGGGCCACCCCAGGCAGGTCCGAGGCGTCTGGGGAGCGATGGGATCGTTGTGGCGGGGAGACGGGGTTTGCTCGGCGCGGGAAGCCCTCGGGCCTGTGCACAGGGGAGTAACATTTGCTCCGTCTCTTCCTGTGTCTGGCTTTATTTGCAGCAAACCAAGATGGAGTATGAGTGGAAACCTGACGAGCAAGGACTTCAGCAAATCCTGCAGCTGTTGAAGGAGTCCCAGTCCCCAGACACCACCATCCAGAGAACCGTGCAACAAGTATCCTTTCCGAGGCCTGGCCTCCGCCCGCGCAGCTGGCGCGGCGCTGCGGGCCCGCTCCCGGCGACCGGGGGGCTCCCGCCGCCCCTCCCCCTCCCTCTCCTTTTGATCCCTCCCTCCTTCCTCTGTCCGCCCGCGGGGGGGGCCCGCCGCCACAGCTCCTGCCCGGCGCCTCGCGCACGCGGCCCTAGTGCCTGGGCCGGGGGCAGTGCCGCGTGGGGCTCATGCCGCCGAGACCGTCGGCTTCCGGCCCGCGGGAGGCGGGGGCCCCGGGCCGCCGCCCGGGATCGCGACATGTGCGCGGGCCTGGCAGCCACGTCCCCGCCCGCCGCTGACCTGACGAGGCGGTGGGGAGCGGCGCGAGCGGGAGCGGCCCGGGCCCACACAATGCGCCCCGCGGGGTGGGGGCGGCGGGCCGAGCGGGAGGCCGGGTGGAGGGCGCTGTGTGAGCGGCCGAGCTTGCCGGCCGACTGGCCAGAAATGGGTGGAGCTGGCGCGGGGTTTGAACTGCTGCCGTGTTGGTCCTGAGGTTTTTTTTCCAGGCCCTTGCCCTGGAAGGGCTGGAGACCTACAGGTGGGGGAAAGGGGTCTCCGTGCCTCACCCCGGGGCTGCTCGTCTTAACACCTGATGCAAATTCCCTGGCTCCCAAGTGAGATTTTCTTTTTAAACCTTTGGTTCAAGGCTAATTGCACAATTAGCTAAGTCTTTACCAGGTGTGCTGATGTAGTTGTCCTTTTGCTACGGTTTTAGAGACAGAAAGGGTTAAGAAGGAAAACCTCTTTTATGTATGCTTTTTGTAGTCCCTGAAACCGTAGACAAATGGAGAGCTCTTGTTGAATCCAGTAAAGGAAACAAGTTCACTTACCAGATCATAAATAATCTTTTTACCTCTTCTTTTAAGCCTAAAGCAGTTAAAAATATTTTTTGCAGAAAAGTCTCTTGATTTTTATTGTCAATAAGCAGCACAATTACTTAATATGGAATTTGGTAAAGTAAGCTCTTTTCGTGTTTGAGCTTATTTAAAATACTATGAAGATGAAGTTATTCACCCAGAGGGTTTCGAAGAAGTACTGCATTTGCTGTAACCTAAAGTCCTCAATAGTTGACAAAATAAATACTCAGGTTTTTTGTTAATATGCTGCCTGTTTAAGAAATGAGGGGCTAACAATTTAGATCTGCTAGTACTGAGGAAGGAACAGTAGTTTTTGGAGTGTATTGGGGTTTGTGTCTGAAACCTTGCTATGGCTCAGTCTTAATTGTGTTGTCATAGTTCCAGGAATGATAGAAAATTGATATTTAATTAATTGTAGGTATTATATGACACAATTACTTGTTTCGTAAATTAGGCAAGCCCAGACTTGCATTGTAATTCTTAAGTAGCACTATATATCATACTTTCTTGTTTTAGTGTGTATTTATTAAGTACCTTTTATATGCCCAGTACTGTGCTTGGGCTAGCAGTCAATTTACAGTTTATTCTGTGTGCCTAGAGCATAGTATGTCCTCTGAGTAAGAACAAATTAAATTTCTGTTACTGTGAGAGGAAAACAGTATTTTAAGTAAAAATACGCACAGCTTTATATTTTCAGAGTGCCTAATGATGACCTTGTTCTTTGTGTCTCTTAAAGAGAGAATGTATTTAATTATTGTTTTGTATAGACTTCTGAAAAACCGTTATAATAGTACAAGTAGATACAGCTCAAGTTTTAAGAAAGTAAACCTTATCAGGAAATATTTATGAAAAAATGTATTGACATTATGTTGTTAATCTTGTCCTTTCACTAAAGCAAGAATCACCATCTGGGTTTTTCTTGGTTACAGAAAGTAGTTGCACCTTGGAATTTTACTAGAGAATATACGTTTTGCTAGTTAATGTTCTGACCCCTAAACATTGAGGGTATTCAAGGATGTGATAAATAGCTAATAAAATGTACCTAGACTTTTGAATCTTGGTTTTAATCAGAAATTTAAATGTGTTGTGTAAAAACATTTTAATCATTCTGTGTAGTAAAACACAGTTGGGAGGTGTGTTAGGGGCTAAGAGGGCTTGAAGGATGAGAGATGTAATACAGCATTATGTTGCTGTTGACTGCCAACACCAACGAAATACCTGCAAATTTGTGTCACTGAAAATGTTAGATTCTGAAGGAAAAAAACAATTTTATAATTATTGTGTATTAATCTCAATGCTGACTTTATATGATATTTGATATATAGGCTTGTACATAAATGACATTTTATCTTAATTTTTTGAATTCCATAGATGAGTCTGACAAAAGTACTTTTTTTTTTAAACTTAAAAGGCTATTTTATAAAATTGATTTCCCTAAGTGATCTTCATCTCTTAAAGACTTGTTTTCATTTCTTTGGAATACTTTCATTTTTGTAACTATTTTATACTTGGATACCTTTCTAGTTACGATGTTTTAAAGTTCTAATAAATCTAAGAATTCTGTTTTGGAAAATTTTGCTGTATTGAGCATACTGAAGCTGGAACTTGCGTATGTTGCATTGAATAAAATTAATGAATTTCAGCCATAAAGCACCTCAGAGGTTTAAAAACAAGCACTAGTGTATGAGTAGTATGTTAATAGATTTAATAAGATATCCTTATTCTTTGTTTAAAAATAAAAATATAAGGCTAGAAATACTGCAAACGGATTCTTGATTTTTATATAAAAAAATGCTTAGTTTTTTTCCTTAGATTACACAGAGACATTTCCTTAACTACTGTTTGTTGTAGAAACTGGAACAACTCAATCAATATCCAGATTTTAACAACTACTTGATTTTTGTCCTTACAAAATTAAAATCCGAAGGTAAGTAGAATTTATGTTTAACTTTTTAAAAGTATCTTTAAGACCCGTTAAAATATACTGAGAGTTATTCATTTCAAAGGATTTCATTTTATAGTAAACATGCTTTATCGATGTGGGATGAGCAGAGTTATTACTACTCTAAGCATTTATGTGCTTAATAACGATTCAGTTAATTGGGTGTTTATATAATAAATTCCCTCATTGTTTGCAAATGAAAACGTGTGGAAAGTCTACTTTGTTTTGCTTCAGTGCTTATACATGAATATGTTGATTGATTCCTTTTAATACACAGCCTGAGCAAGAGCAAGACCTTGCCTCTACAAAAAATGGAACAATTAGCCAGGCATAATGGCACAAGCCTGTCCTAGCTACTCAGGAGGCTGAAGCAGGAAGATAGCTTGAGCCCAGGAGTTTGTGGTTGCCGTGAGCTATGACACCACTGCACTCTATACCAGTGTGACAGATTGAGACTGTCTCAAAAAAAATTAACTGAATATATGTGTGATCATTGTAGAAAAAAATGGAAAGGTCATATAATCAAAATGAAAAATCACTTAGCTCATCATCCAGAGATTATTATGTTGATATCTTGAATTACATCCTTCTGTACTCCTTTTATATGGTTATGTATAATACATAACTATTTTTAAATTATTTAGCAAAAAAATGGTATTTTACTCATAGGTAAACTTCCATAACTTTTCAGAAACTGCTAACAGTGTACATAAAACTTTTTCATTAAGTCTTCAAACAATTTTAAAATTACTTCTGTGATAGTTTAAAGCCTGAATAGTGTGATTTTTAAATGACATGGTCATTTGAATGTTCTAATAACATGTAAATTCTCACTAGATTTTATTTCACAAGTATTTATTGCACATCACCTCTTTGCCAGGCAGTTTGCAGGCTCAGAAGAAAGAAAAGTGAGCAAAACAAAAATCTGTGCCCTCGAGGAGCTTACATTGTAGTGAGAGGTGTTCTTCATAGCATCATTTGAGTTATTCCCTTTCTGAAACATTGCAGACACATAGAAGACAAATATTTATTGAATAACTGACCAGCCTCTAAGTAAAAGCACTATACCTTATTCAGTGATTAGTATTTTAGATGCCATAGTGCAGTTAGTAGAAGCACTGCACTTGGAATTGGGAAATAACAGGTTTTAGACTCTGAGTTGAAGTCATTTAACCTCTCTTCTTTCAGCTATAAAAAGCGTGTGTTAGACAACCAGACCATCTGTAAGGTTTTGTTCAGCTCCAAACTCTAGCAGGTTAATGGTCTTAATGTATAGTAAAATCTCACTAATCTTGTGTTCAGATTTTGATAATTCATACAGATAGTGATTTCTTTTGAATTGTTTTCAAATCATTTTGTAGTTAAGGGGGGCGGTTAATTTATGATTGGGGGACATAATAGAAAATTTAAAACTCCAAATCTAGGTTTTAAGAAACTAGGAATTCTTTCAGCCTGTCTTTAAATTCAGCAATTAATATTCCTAGTTTGAAAAGTATATTTATGATATATTGTTTCTTAATACAGAAGTTTTTCTTATAGTTTGTGATTAGGCTGCTGTTTTCTTTTTAAAAAACTAAAATACTTACTAAATGAATTTTTCTAATCTGAAATTGTTTAAATTGAAAATTTTATTTTCACCTAAGCTGTCTACTCTCATGTTTTCACACCTACATTCCAAATATTAAGATTGTTATAAATTATACTCATTATTAAAGCTTTGTTGGGATATAAGGATATTTCAAAAGTACTTTTTAAAAAAACTTATTCAGACAGCAACAATAGAATTTGGAAGCCACTACCTCCACAAAGACCTATTACAAAACCGTAAAATGTTGGAAAAAATTTTATTCAGGTTTTCTTGACCCTAAAATGTATTTCTTCTGTTCATTGGGTGCAGTTTCTCAAAAGACATAGTAGTAGTTGTACATTTGTGTAACAGTTGATATTTCTTCTTGTGTTTACTCATTTCCCCCTCCCCAGGAAGATGGGAACATAGTTGGCCATATGCCATATCTAGTTCTCCTGGTTTTTTTTGTTTTTTTTTTTTTTAAATCTCTGCATTGTGGCCATCTTAGAGAAGGAACATAAGTAACATCTTTAATTGAAAATGCTTATTTAGAAATCTTTTTTTTTAAGAGACAGGGATTTGCTCTGTAACCTAGGCTGGAGTGTCGTAGCATGATCATAGCTCACTGCAACATTGAACTCCTGGGCTCCAGCAATCTCCCACCTTGGCCTCCCAAGTTACCTGAGACTACAGGCATGAGCCACCACACTTAGCTAATTTTATTTTATTTTATTTTTTTTTTTGAGACAGAGTCTCACTCTGTTGCCCTGGCTAGAGTGAGTGCCGTGGCGTTAGCCTAGCTCACAGCAACCTCAAACTCCTGGGCTCAAGCAATCCTACTGCCTCAGCCTCCCGAGTAGCTGGGACTACAGGCATGCGCCACCATGCCCGGCTAATTTTTTCTATATATTTTTTAGTTGTCCAGATCATTTCTATCTATTTTTTTAGTAGAGACGGGGTCTCGTGCTTGCTCAGGCTGGTCTGGAACTCCTGAGCTCAAACAATCCGCCTGCCTCGGCCTCCCAGAGTGCTAGGATTACAGGCATGAGCCACCGCGCCCAGCCTTAATTTTATTTTTTGTAGAGACAGGGTCTTGCTGTGTTGTCAATCTCAAGTGATCCTCCTGCCTCAGCTTCCCAAAGCACTGGGATTATTTAGTAATCTTGTCATTGAATCATTGAGTAAAAAGTTTTAGATCCAGAAGGGACCTCAGAGATCAGCTGCTCTAATTCTCTCATTTTGCAGATGAGCAAATTGAGGGCCTAGTGAAGTAAAATCTTAATTTTTTTAAAAAGAGAAAGTGATTGGTGACTTTTAAAAATGGATTTTAAGAGGATATATACTTGAAAACTGTTTCATCTCAAGTTGTGGTTTATTAAAACTCATCTTGTAATTTTTATTGTAAAAATCAACATATTATTTACAAATAATGCAATTTAAAATGATTACATGACTGAATTATTAGCTAACTTATGATAAGCTTGAGGAAGTTAAATATTTGACTTAATTTATCTCATAGCAGTTTTAAACTTTTAAGAGGATTTAGAAGTAGGTTTTGTTTTAAGTTACTTATTGGAATGGGTTGTAATTGAAAATGGAGAATGGAAAAACATTTTTAGATGGTGACATAAAGGAGTCTTATTGCTGTGATGACCTGAATGGGGTTTATGTGCAGAGAAACTTTGGGTTTTTTGCCTCTACATGTGCTTCACCCTTGAAGGTTGATGCCATTCAGACTTTGGGAACATAGTATTAAGTAGAACAAGCTCCGGGTATTTTATTTTTTAATAAGGCAGGTAAAACCATAGTGTTTCAGTAGCATATTCTGTTTAACACTCCAAGTCTTCTTGTCTTATAGCCCTTTGAGAGAAGTGGTTTGAAGTGTATGCTCACTGAAGCCAGGCTCCCAAAGTTTTGGCTTCCCCACTTGGTAGCCTTTTGGAACTTTGGCAAAGGCCTCAGTTTCTTCACCTGTGCAGTAAGGTTAATAATAACCTGTATAATATCATGAGATTGTAAGGATTAAATGCAGGGCTACTTGGAAAGCACTTATCAGTGTTTTAATTCATAATAAGCATTCAGAAGATGTTCCAACTACTGCTGATAATGTTGGTGGTGATGCCAATTGGTAAAACATCATTTATATTCTAGTATTGTTTCTTTGTGAAAATTTAGCACCATCTATGGATTAAATTTTAAGATTCTATTTTTAAATGTTTTTGCAGATTTTATGCTTTTACTTTTTTTTTAAGAGACAGTGTCTTTTCGCTGTCACGCAGGCTGGAAGTACAGTGGTGCAATCCAAGCTCACTGCAGGCTCAAATTCCTGGCTTCAAGTGATACTCCTGCCTCAGCCTCCCAAAGTGCTGGGATGACAGGAGTAAACCATCATGCCAGGCCTGATGCTTTACTTTTTTTAAGCTCAGGGGCAAGTGAAAAATAAGTTAATGACAATTATATTTATGCAGAGATGATCCCATGTATTTTTTCCACTTAACGTTTTTATTAGGATATTTTTAGTAACTAATGCTTTCGTATCTATAATGATGTTTATTAGATAACAATAAAGCTTGCATACAGTGGCCATCTGTAAACTAACTCTTAAACTAAATCAGTGGTTCTCAACCAAGGGCAGTTTTGCCCCGGGCCCCCCCCCCACCACCTCAGGAGACATTTTTGGTTGTCACAACTTAGAGGGGTTCTATGGACATTTACAGCTAATGATGCTGCTAAACATCTTACAACACACAGGATAGCAACTCACAACAGAGAATTGTCAGTATGTCAAACTGTTATCAAAATGTCAGTAGTGCCAAAGTTGAGATACCCTGAAATCAGGATTTAATTCTTTGATATTCAGTTATGATTTTTTTAACTGGTTATAGTAAAGTAAATTTGAATGCCACAATCAACATTTTTTTTTTTGAGATGGGGTCTTGCTATTGCCCAGGCTGGTCTGGAACTCCTGGGCTCAGGTGATCTGGAGTCAGCCTCCCAAAGTGCTAGGATTACAGGTGTGAGCCACCATGCCCTGCCTCCCCAGTCAACTTTTGAATATAATAACTTTATTATATGAATATAATAACAACTTTAAAGTTATTGTTCTTGGCACATTTTGAAATGAAATCTACTTTAAAACTCAGTGTTGCCACTGCTGTTTTATTACAGATGAACCTACGAGATCATTGAGTGGTCTTATCTTGAAAAATAATGTGAAAGCACATTTTCAGAACTTCCCAAATGGTGTAACAGACTTTATTAAAAGTGAATGTTTAAATAATATTGGTGACTCCTCTCCTCTGATTAGAGCCACGGTTGGTAAGTTATATTGTAACAATCTTGCTTACTCTGTTTCTAACTGGATTAGAGATGACAGACCATTTCCATAGGAATTTTTGTTAGCCATTAAACGTTAAATTGTGATGAGGGAAATTATTATTGCATTTAAATACTTTTGAGATGATGTTAATTACAGTAAAAACTCTCTTATCCAGTGAGACCAGTGATGAGGGTTACTGGTCTCAGTGGATAAGAGAGCTTTATCACACTTGGCTTAATCAAAGTTGGTTACAATGGAACATCAGCGAGTGATAATAATTGAGGACCATTATGTTTTCTTTGAGTGTGCAGATTGGAGTTCCTTATTGTCTGTCCGCCTTACAAAATGTATGGGGCACAATTTCTCTTTTCCTTTTTTTGTGTAATGAAAAGCTTTCTGATTTTTGAAAACAATGTAAGTATAGGATTCTAAATTTTTACTATTTTCCCACTTGTTTTTTATTATAATATTTGCCTTGTCTATACCTAATTCAGTAGCAAGTTTTTTAGTCTTCAGAATGTTCAGCTTGTTCAGGTAAAGAACTTTCTGTCAGTTTATGTAATACTAGATTAAAATGCTTAATTACGGTAACTACTATAAATTGATTTGGGAGCACACACAACTGGCTATTGGTAAGCACACATATCAACCAGTGGAAGCAGAAATAGGCAGGTATACTCTCTTGAGTAACCTACTAATGGGCAGCCCTTCGATATGTCATGGACTTAAGCAGTTAAATTTTGCAAGGACTTGGAAAGCATCTATGAATTTACCACGTTGGTTAAATGGAAGCCAGTTAAAGGAGTCAAACACTTTCATCAAGAGTTCCTTAGTTTTGTGCATTTTGTCATGTAGTTTTGAAAAGTATTCAAGTCATCTCTTACTCTGTGACTTCCCTGCAGACATTCTTGTATTAAACAGTGCCATTATTGACACTGATTTTAAATTTGGGTAGAGGACATTTGTAGTTTGAAAAAGGACTCCCTAGGTTATTCTGATGTACCCATATGTATCCCTTAAGGCTTTACCTACTCATGACACTGGTGAAAAGAATGGTAAGTGTGTGCCAGCCTTTTCTATTTAAAATCAAGGAGAGAATTCCCGATAGATAAAGTGGAATGGGATTTGCAAAGAAGTTTGTTTCTACCTAAATTGTGTTTCATTATAAACCTATCTTTAAGGGCCATTTGGTCCAAACTTCAGTACTTTTGATGTTGCCAAGCACACTGATTTGATTCCCATAATTGTTGTAAATACTGAGAAATATCTGTCACCTTTCACTTTTGCAGCTTATGCTGGATATTAGATGATTTTTCAGGAGTAGATGAAATTATGGGGCCAGATAAGTTTGGAGTTTGTCCTTCTGTCAACATTCTTTAATGCTGTCCTAGTGGAAGTAATGAATGTCAGCCATCTGTTAGTATCAAGTTATAGACTGTATTTAATTTGTATTAATTATTACCTGTTTGCAGTCTTACTTAAGACATACTTGGTCTTAAATAGGCAGATCCAGATCTTTCTCTTCCCCTCAGTTCTTTCATTAATATATTTTATCTTCAGGAAAGAATAACTGGCGAAAGGGTCAGGTGTTGCTGCTTTTAGATCTTACTAAGCTATTCTATTGTAAGGGTTAATGTTTTAAAATGCTATCACTACATTGGCCATCATGTATACTTTTTTTGTTTTATTTTAGTGGAGAGTAAATATTTGCCAACAGCTTTTACTCCACATATTTTTTTAGTTCTTTACCACTGGGAGCAACCTTTTCAAAACTAAGAGTAGAAAATTCAAATGAAAATTTATACACAACAGTAGAATTTACTATTCAGTGATGTTTACTAGGTACTAGGTATTTTATATATATCCCACTGAATTTTCAAAATAACATTTTTACAGATTAGTATTTTGTAGCTTAGAGTACATATAATTTGCTTACCGTCAAAGTTTTTATACTCTAAGGTACTAAAAGATTGATAATCACCAACCATATTACATTTTATTATTAGTGATGTATTTACTAAGGCAGAGAAAAATGTTAACACGAAACTTATGTGTTATCATTGTGTTTGTATTAACACAAAACTTTTGTGTTACATTTTTATGTATTTGCATAATCATTGACTATCACAACTCAGCCACACAACACAGTTGAAATAATCCAGTCAGTCAAAACAAGATGATCAGTCAGCATGTGCCACCCAGCCTCCAAGATCACCTTTCTGGGTACTCAGCATTGATCTAGTAAGTGGGAACTATTGTAGGAGTGTGTAGCCGGTCTACATAAGGGAGTGTTGTAAACAGACTGAACATATAGGAATGTTCTCAAGTGATGCTCATCTTCTTTAATTTTTTCTACCACAGTCCTTGGCTGTGATTCCAGATTAAGTCAGGGAGCTGTTCTTAGCTTCTTAATGTGTCTTTTATATGAACCTAACAGATTCATAAATTCATCACACAGCAGTAAGCACTGCTAACATTTTGGTATAGTTTTCATTCTGCTGTTTTGTATGTATAGAATTGGAGTTAATTTTAATTGGTGAAGCTATCATTGATATCATTGGAGAAAAGCAGATTACAGTCTTTCATACAGATACTTGGTAAATTAAAAAAAAACTTAGAGGGTGAACTGTTGGGAAACAGGATGAGAAACATCTGGTTGATACTGTGGTTTTTCCACAGTTATGCTGTGGCGATGTGGGAGTCACTGGTAAATATTATTAATATGTAGTTTAGAAATCTTAGGCATGGGATATTTAAGTGTGTGCACACGCATGAGCACACAGTTGTCCATATGACAGTATCTATCACAGTGCAGTCGGATTTCCTAAAGATGTTTGTTTTCTTTGAAGGTATTTTGATTACAACCATAGCCTCCAAGGGGGAATTGCAGAATTGGCCTGACCTCTTACCAAAACTCTGTAGCCTGTTGGATTCTGAAGATTACAACACCTGTGAGGTAAGGGTATTTGTTTCATATATAATTTTTCTTTTCTATTTTTCTTGTCATGTTATGTGTTAGCAATCTTTGGGAAAAATATTTCCTCTGAAATATACAACCTCAAAAGTTAGAAGCCTAAAGTTACCTTTGTGTTTCACATTTATGAATCATTCATCTTACTGTTTTCTATAAAGACCGTTACATTATAAAACCTCTTCACTGTATGTCCTACAAGGAGATGTCTTCTAAAGTTATTCTTGGGTGTATATGTAATAAACAGCTACCGTCAAGCTTAATCAGTTGATGTGGTATTTTTTAAAGATAGATTGAAATTTACCAAATTTCCAGACCATGAGTACTTTTTTAGCTTCTCTAAATTGTTTTTATGCTGCTTATTGTATGACATTATCTAAGGTATGTCTGACTTCTCTAGTTTTAATCATACCTTAACTCTGATCTCTTGTTTTTTTGCCACTGATTTGATCCATTTGAGAAGGTGAGAGTCAGTTTGTATAGAGTCCTTCTTTTATAATCTCTATTAATGAATACTTTATCTCTTTCATTAGCAGGCTTCCAGTTTGGGTAGAAATCTGTTTTAAGCGAAAACCATTTTATGTGTTTTTGTTCTCTAAAGTTGAGATCCTCTCTCTTTCAAAAAAGAGCAGGATTGCAGGAAGGGCAGGCACAGGATTAACCTAACAAAAAGCAATCAGGTGGTCTTATGACTTGGCAGTTCGTTGTTTGACCTGTCTTCAGAAAGAAGAAATAGGCAGAGAAGATGGGGAGAGGGAGTATTGGCAAAGTTAGTTATTAAAGTCACTTTTCTCCCTCCCTAAGAGAAAAAAAATCATTCTTATACACACAGAAAAGCCTTGGAAATACACTAAGATTACAGAAAAACTAAGTATTTAGTCATCATGTGGTTGATTACATTTAAATAGTGCTTGGTATGGTGGTGATAACATAATAGATGATTGAAATTTTAATCACTTTCCAAGAATAAAAATATTAAATGGCAGTTATTGTGAATCGTGGAGCTACTACATTGAAATTGTACTTTAAATAAACAGTATTCCCATCTGTCTGAACTAAAGATGTAGGTTTTCGAGATGTTAGTATGGAGTGATCACTAAAATGTTCTTAGTTGAAGTTTTTATTGGTTTTGTTTTGTGGGGTTTTTTGCCTCAGTTTTGGCACAATAGGTAACAAGTTCACATTTAATTTGATTTTAACAGTTTTTCAGAACTAAAACATTTTTTCAAAAGACCTTAATATTCAAAGATATCTATTTTAACATGACAATTGAAATCCCTAATATTTAAGCATGTTAAACCTAAGATTGAAATTTTATATTTTTAACTGAGTTCTAAACTTTAAAAAATCTCCAAATTTAGTATTTTTTAAGTATATTAAACTCTGAAAGAGTATTGGGTAATTGCCTTTAGTTATTTTTGGACACCTTTTAAATTAACTGTACTATGGAGAATGAGCACCAAGTTACTATTGATGGAATTATAAGGACCAAAGTGGATGGTTGAGGCAATTAGTAGGTTACATATTGTGTGCAAAGGCTCTGGATTATCCCCTTTAGTATAAAAATGGTTATAGGGAAATAGTTGCCAGTTTGAATTGTTTGTCCTTCTTAAAGATTTTGTTACTATTTGTGGTTTTATATATGTGACTTTTCTAATGGTGTTTGTGACCTCTCTGTGTGCTTCAGAAGTGTTACAATAGTTAAATAGACTTCTGTGTAAATGTAGACTTTTACGTTCAGTTTTAACAAACTGATATTTAATCCCTGCCAACCAAAATATCCTCAGTTCTCTAAGCCACGTATTGCTAAATTTCAAATGTACCATTATATTTGAACAGATTTTAGATACTCCATGGTTATAATAGTTTGTTTTAAAGTTGAATGATTAGATTTATGGGTTTTAGAAGGTGGTGTTTTATATAGGCTGAGAACATTAATCTATACATATTACAACATTCTTCAGTTTGCTTTTAAATGGCTTCATTTTTAATGAATTCTCAAAATTTAAATATGTCTTTTATAGGGAGCATTTGGTGCCCTTCAGAAGATATGTGAAGATTCTGCTGAGATTTTAGATAGTGATGTTTTAGATCGTCCTCTCAACATCATGATTCCCAAATTTTTGCAGTTCTTCAAGCACAGTAGTCCAAAAATAAGGTATTTATATAGCCCATATTAATTTATGAACTCTGATATAGCCTGACCACTATTTTGCATTACCTAATATTTTTTTGTGATTAGCAAAAGATACTAGATGTCCCACAAAGGTGAATACACATAATTGAAATTTACTGTTTTAATAACGAAATCTGTGGAATACTGACTCTGAAATTTTCATTAAATATGATATAGTTCTCTACCTTCTGCATGGTTAATTATGTTTGCAATAGATAACAGTCATGCTTCTTTTAAATTCCTTTGTTTAAGGCCAAGAATCGTTGTAGGGTTTCTTGCTTTTCATTTTTTATCAATCTTGCCAAGTTGAAATATCTTCATTTGTGGCTGTGTAATAAAAATTCTTCCAATATAACATGTACATATCCTTGTTCATTGGAGGTGAACAAGATTATTGGAAGCAATGAACTATAAATGTTTGAGCTTCTAAACATGTGGTATCCTCTTTCCCTTCTCCCATTTTCAGGCCCAGTACAGACCTATTCTCTGCTTTTCTTTATCCTGTGATTAATAAACTGAATTTTAATGAAGATTTATTCTCATTAAATTAATAAGTACTTTTAGTTTAAGGGTTTTACATCTATTTATGAAAAAACATTACAAGCATAAAAGTGGCAGGATTTTTTTTAGTACATGCTGAAATCACATAGTAGGCCTAGTAGGCTGGTCATGAAGTTAACATGGCCTACTTTGTTCACCTCTGTATCCCTAGTTCCTAGAACAGTACCTGGCACACAGTTGTGGAAATATTATATTTAGAATATTAAATTGGCCTTTGATTAAATTTCTTATCAGTTGTCCAGTTGAGCTGTAATTATCATGATGTCTTCATTGCACTGTTGAGGTATGTGAGACTGTAACTTCACCAAACATTCTCCAAGTTACCGGCCGGGCGCGGTGGCTCACGCCTGTAATCCTAGCACTCTGCGAGGCCGAGGCGGGTGGATTGTTTGAGCTCAGGAGTTCGAAACCAGCCTGAGCAAGAGCGAGACCCCGTCTCTACTAAAAATAGAAAATAAATTAATCGGCCAACTAAAAATATATAGAAAAAATTAGCCGGGCATGGTGG